AGAGGACACAGACACCAATTGCCAATTATGGAAAATGTCATACATGGAGAGGTGCTTGAAGATCCTTACGGTTTTAGTGTATCTTCTCTCAAAATTAACAGTAAAGTAACTCCTATGCAGGATATTCATTGTTAGTGCAAGTTGCTTTTTAAATCATATTATATCAGTCACATGTGAGGCAAACTAAAGGTTGACCATAGGCATTGATAAACTACTACCTAAAAACTGAAAATTACATTAGAAAAACTGAAAACTACCCAATATAAATTTGCTTTTGAGTTAGTTTCTCCAAACCTACTGCCTGCCTACCAAATTAATGGGGTATCGTAATAGAACCCCAGATATCAACTCAAGATTATGTTAAAACTACATGTGGGGGAATATGGGACCTTGAGGAGAGTTGTTTAATTTGATTTAAATTCTAGCCTTGTTCATCCAAGCAGAAGCAACCCGTTGAAATATTCTGATTTTGATTGAAGGCTTGCTAGAAAGGTGGTAAGGTGGTCTGGAAGATTGTATCTGATGTGTTTAGATTCATTTCCCAAATTATTTTCTTTGTTTTTTTGTTTGAGAAACAAGAATCCATCCCAATGTAGCCGGTCAGTAATTATATTTTCATTCCTGTACCAGAACAATTGGTTCCAAATGTTTTGCCAAACATTGAAGTTGTTCAAGGATGAGTCATTATTAGAAGCACATGGATATGCATATTAATCATAACAAAGAATCATCATATGAGTATAGAAACTTAATGGCCTAAACATTGAAAATAAGTTCCATTTATAACACTTTTTTTGAACTTCAAAACAACCTTGAACTCATAAACAGTGAGCATAGTTGTCAAGACATCTAGATGATTCTAGGTCAATGGGGTGCCTAGTCACCTAGGCAATAAGAATTTTATAAAATAAATAACTAAATTCTGGCCAAGTTCCCTAGTTTCATATAACATCAGCATCATAGTTGTCTAGGTGATGCCTAGGCACCAGCCTAGGCAACAGCGCACTAATACCAGGTTGCCTTGCTTTATGAACAAGAAATTTTTTACATGGTGCTCTTGGATACTTTTATATTCTTAATGTTTTGACAACCAGTTCATACTAAGGTAGCATAACATGTAGAGTGATGCCTAGGTGATAAAGCACTCATAAGGGTTGCATCACTTAATCACCAAGATATCTTTTACACTGTTGTTGGATACTTTTATATCCTTAACTTTCTGAGATTATAATAATGAAATAGACATTATTAAACTAAGTTATTTGTTATGGTTGAATCAAGATGTATACTCCTTTGAACCTGAAAGATGAACATCGTGTGATCATATTGTGCAAAAATTCCAATAATTAGAGAGGTTGAAAATCAAAATTTTACTTGAAACCCTAATGCCGAAATCGCATTTGGAGTGAAAACACGATTTTCTTCCTTGGATCATTTGGGATTCTTGGACCATAAAAGATCAAATCTTCGGACCAAGAATAAGTGTAGAACCCGATTATGATGTCCACAAATGCAAAAATCGAAGTGGTGTTCACACCCAAACTTGGATCTTCCCAAAATACTGCAACTAACTGAAGATGGTGCAACTGTGTTTGCAGTCTTGGAATTCTTTTCTAGAATTTACAACGGCAAAGGTCTGACCTTTCACACGAGTTTGGGTCATATCTTTAACCCGGAATAAGTCTAGAACAATGCTAGGGAGGTTGACTAACAGGTCTGGTCAAATGAGGTTCAAAACCCTAGTCAAAGGTGTCTTACAAGATTAGATTGATTCTAGCAATGATGGGAAAAACTTGCATGGTTCAATCCCCTCTTATTGCTATCTATTTATAGACCATGGAGGGCTGCAAGAGCCCTCTCCTTGTCTATCTATGACTCCTAACATGTTTAGGATTAAGTTGGAGAGAGTCTTGATCTCCAAATCCAGCCCTTTAGATTGGAATCTAACTACCTAGTTAAACTAGCCAAATCCTAGTCATACTAGACTATCTAGTGAATAGTTTGACTTGGATTCTCATGTGAGACTTTTAATTATCCATTAGCACTTTAATAATTCTGAAAATAATTATCCAATTAGAATATTACAGCTTGTATGGCATGGGACCCACAACTTAATGGGAGAGCCAACATGTCACATGCTTTATGTAAGCTAGTGGGGCCAACCACTTAATTATTTAATTAATGTGTCGTGACATACAAACTGCCTTGAGCACTTACTGTGTCGTGACATAGCTTTTGATGATCCTATCAATGCACTCGACCTGACATAGCTTAGGTAGTAAGTGTTGTGAGTAGATATCAATTGAATCTAAGATCTGAGTACTGGACTACTGTGAAGAACATATTGAAATACCTTGAAAGGACAAAGGATTATTCCCTTGTCTTTGAAGGAAGTTCATTGCAATTGGTTGGGTATACTGATGTCGATTTATAGTCAGACCCAGATGACAAAAAGTCTTCATATGGATTTGCCTTTCTACTAGGGCCAGGAGCTGTTAGTTGGAATAGTAGTAAGCAAAGGTTGACAACGGATTCCACAACAGATGTTGAATACATTGCCGCAAGTAATATTTCTAAGGAAGATGTTTGGATGAAGAAATCCATCCAAGAGCTTGGTAGTGTCAACGGAGAATGTGGCGGACCCATTGACAAAGCCACTAACGCAAAAAGTGTTTGAGAAACACATGGGCAGCATTGGGCTACGACTTATACCATATTGGACTTGAGTGCAAGTGGGAGTTGTTAGACAGTGTGTATGCCCTCAGCTTCAACTGATGTATTGTACACACTTTTGTTATGAATAGAAAAAACATTTACTTCATGTGTCATTGGGCTGTTCTACTAAATCCCCTTAGTTCATATCAGTATTATGTATGAGGCTATATAGTTGTCATAATATGGACCTAAATCTTCACAACTAGTGGATACCCTTGGAGAAGTCTATCCTGACAAGGTTATCATTCTCATACCACCCATGGTAGTGGAGCAGTGGGCCTCAGTTACTCGGGTTGTGACCTAAGGTTTGAGGATGAGTGCTTACAAGAAACATTGAACTAGACCAAACCCAAAATGTTCCTAGACTTTTTGACAAGTGGAACAACTAGGTATTTCTTTTAATCCATAAACTTGATATTGATAGCAGGTTGATTATCAAACTTGTCTGTCTTTGATATGCCAACTAGCGAGATCCTTTTGGGGTCAAATACTTGGGTATGTTGGGATATTCAAGGATGGTATGTCAACTAATGATCAATGTGATAAGATTCACTATTATGTTAAGACATAGAGAATACTTTATACAACTTCCTCTTTGGAGTCCTAAACTTGTTGACAGTAGAATTATCTAACTCCTTAATGAAGGATCCAATGGTGTTGGAAGTTAGACAATATGTCATAAAGACAATAGGGGAAAAAGCCATTCCCTTAATGTAGTATCAGTGCCTTGAAAACTATGATCAACATGAAATATTAAATTGAAAGAACATTAAATTTCCTCTCAAAGCATGACAAATCATCATATCTAAAAGATAAAGTATTTTAAATATATTAATTTCAATATTTTCAAAAATAATGCTAACATAAAGTATTCCATAGGGCAATTTCATATCAATTAGCATCTAAAGAAGGTTATAATTTTATATAAATAAAAATTTTAAAAAGAAAAAGAACAAGGGTGTAGCTACTGTTTTATTTAATTTAAGAGAGAGAGAGAATTAAAAAACAAAAAAAAAGGAAAAGAAACCTCTTTATAATTATATTCTTTCTTTCTTTTTCTCTTCCTAGAACCCTTTGATCTTTTAAATTTCAATAGTAAAACTTTAAAACAAAGTATAAATGATATATATAGTACATAATAAAATGTATTAACATACATATAACTAAGATAATAGCAATACAAGTGATATTATAATAAAGCGTTCACCTTGTCATTTTTACAGCCTAGGTGGGTGCTTTATTGCTAGGCGAGTACTAGTCACCTGGATGGCACCTTGTTGCTACAAGTCAAGGCATGTAGGCAAGGCACCTAGCCTAGGTGATGCCTTGACAACTATGTCAATGAGAAAGCAAAATCAACTTAAATTAAATGATAAACAAAATAGTCATTCAAGCAGGCAGCCTAAGATTAACTACAGTATGTAAATTGTAAGAAATTATATTAAATAAAAACCTGAATTATCAGTGACAACAACAAGAGAACCCACTTAGTCTCTCATAAATCAATTGATTGTTTGGGCATCATGCCAAAACAGCTATTGGAAGAAGGCTTATTTGATACATGGTTGTTTATCCAACAGAGGTGGCTTTGCACTCTGATGGAACCCAAAAAAAAATTGTGATTTATGCTCTGTAGAGCAACCATGATTTCTTGGTATTGCCCCATCTCCAATATAAGTTGATGATTTGATTGATGCATGAGAAAACAGTTCAAATTCTGAATTTTCTGAAATTTTTACACCATAGGGGTATTTTAGTTGTTTTGCAAATTACCTGTAGGGTCCAGCCTTGGATTTGATTTGTTTTATAGTTATTGATTAACTAGTTTAGGAGTTACTGATTTTCTACTTTCTTATGAAAGGTGCAATTCTAGCAAGAGGATTGGCCGCCCATAGTATGTGCCCATGTGCAAATGGAAAAATATGGAAGAATTAATGAGTTGATTTATTTGAGTTAGTGTAGCTTATGCTAAGAATGGTAAGTGATTCCCACACCCCAAAATGATTCCTTTTCCTAGGCAACTTGTTGAGTGATTCTGGGTTAATCTGTTCTTTCTTTTTCCACCTTCTCTCTAATTTCACAAGCAGCTAGTATATCCAGCAACAGCTCACATATTCTTCATTAAAGGAGTTTATTCAACATCCCTAAAGGACTAAGATTGATTCAGGTGTGTTAACTCTTAGATTCCACCACCCTTGTACCACAATTTCTTATATAGAATCCAAGAAGTAGAAAATATAGAAAAGGCCAATAACTGACGGAAAGGATATTAGAACTTAACATACCTAGCTCCAGAAGCAATAACAGCTTTGTGGACCTTCATACCATAGTAGTCTTTGCCCCCAAAGGCTGGAAGAAGAGATGGATGGATGTTTAATATAGATCTGGGGTAGGCCTGAATCAACTCAGCTGGTATAAGTTTCAAGTATCCAGCTAAGAGAATAAAGTCAACCTCAAATTTCCTGTAAAAGACAATCAGCTGTCTGAAAAGGCTCGATTACCAGTAAATTCTCTAAAGGAAAAAAAGAAAAAAAAAAAAAAAAACATAATGTAAGTTTCAAGAATCCAGCTAAGAGGATAAAGTCAACCTCAAATTTCCTGTAAAAGACAACCATCTGAAAAGGCCTGATTATCAGTAAGTTATTCTCTAAGGGGAAAAAGAACATAATATCTGAAATCCACTCCATATAAATTATTAATGGTTTAGATTTGGCACCACTATAGGTGGTCTAAAATAATGTAATAACTAAAAGGTTATTTTGTACTTCAGGCTCTCAAATTGAGGTTAGACACAAAATCATGACAAGTGGCATTTGACATTTGCATTTCCCATGCAACATCCCTTCCAATTCACATGATTACAGCAAATGGAAACAAATATTGCATAGCCAATGCTAGAACAACATCCTACAATAAAAAAGGAATGTGGTGGGAAACTTTGTTGATGATAAGGAGAGAAATCATGATTCATGACCTTTTAGTTTACATTTATCCTAGTCTTTACTCAGAAAACTTGCAGGTTATAACCAAAGTTAAGGGAAAAAAAAAGCTAGTCTCAGTGACCAGAGATTGGAAAGATTTTTCCAGCAAGGAGAAAAAAACTTTTGTATTAGGGAGCATAGCAGTCAAGAAATCCCTCAGCCCAGATCTCCTTTCTCAATGGGATTCATTAGAGATGTTTTTTTTCTTGGCTTGTTATTAGGCCTATTCATAGTCTCATGGATGTAGGAAAACTTCTTTAATTGCACTAAGTCCACCAGATTGAAACAATTATCTAAAGAATTTTATAGCTATAGGCTCTCTGGGAAGCATATATAGAATCTTAGTTTAAGCACTCACTTCTATATTCAAAATACATTGAAATAAATTATGTCCATATTGCAGAGTGTGATTTTCCATGGAAATGGTACATTTATGGTGTCTGAAATTCTGAAACAAAGAATAGACTTGAGACTTGAGTGTTAGAAGGGGGATCCCAATTGTCCAATGTAAAGTTGATCTTAAAAAAACCCTCATTGTGTTGGAACTTGGAAGTGATGGATTACATTCTCAGAAGAAGAGATATAGATGTTAGAAAAAGCACTAACCAGACTGAATGTTAAAGAAGAGTCGGGATGGTACTCGTGTAAGAAGCTGTAATGTGAATCTAGCTCCTTTCCAGCTTCATATGCCACACTAGAGAGGATTCGATAAAGATTAACAGATGATAATATTTGAAATTGGAAGTGAAAAGGAAGCACTAAATAGAAAATCGCCTACTCCTTCCTTACTTGGATGAGTCTATTATGAAGTAATCAGGTTTTAACAATGAAAATCAAATGATATAATGTAGGTCATAGTTATCAAGGCGATGCCTAGGCGATAAGGCGCCCTTGGAGGCTCGCCTTGCCTAATCACCAAGCAGTTCTCTATAACATGTTATAAAAACTTTTATATTCTTAACTTTTTGAGGTTATAATTATAAAATAGACATTTTTAAACTAAAATATTCATTATGTGTGTTTATATACTAATTTCTTGTTATATTTTCTTATTTGTTAGGGTTTAATCAACACAAACATTGCTAAATGCTGTATTGAACCCTCAAAGACTTCAAAACCTGAACCAATAAGTAAGGAAGAACAAAAAATGTTGCCCAATCAACATATTTTCTTCTTTTTCTTTACTAATTTTGCGTGTTTATATACTAATTTCTTCTTCTTCTTCTTCCATCTTTTCTTTTCTTCTTTTCCTATAACAAAAATAGGGGTTCAGCCCCTATATTTTTTAAATTTCTTTTCTTTCTTCTTTTTCTTCTCATGAATATGTTGATTTTTTATAATTTAACATGAAGTTTATACTTTTCTTATGAAAATTATGGATATTTATTAAGGAAATATAATTATGGAACCTAGGGAACTACCCTAGGATACATGTTTTTACTCTATCGCCTAGCCTCACCTTGGCGCCTTGAAAACTATGATGTAGATCAAGAATCTTTTCTTCCGTGATGTGGTCAGATCTCAGCACACCCCCATGCCATACAGGCACACCCTATAAAATTAAGCACCCCAATGTGTAGCTAGTTTTATTTTGAAATCCCCCATCTTGTTTGAAATCATATTCTCTTCAGTGTACTCTCTGACTGTGTAAAATGCATTGGTTCCTTCGATGGAAACTCTGAGGTACCAGTTCTTCCTACATATCATATTTACCACTTGAGATGCTATAATACAAGTTCCACATGAAGACACGTGAATAACATCTATCTGTAGCTTTTGGAAGAAAGCCTCACCTCAGAGCACTTACAAGATCAGTTGGAGATAGTCCTTCAGTCTCTTTGGTTTTGGGGAACAAAATAACAGGGATTCCACTAGCTCTTGCATACTCAGCTCCTCCACAACCTGCAATGGAAATAGAAGGTAAAGAAAAGAAACAAAAATAACAATGATAAAAATTTAAATAACAGCAATTTCACATTTCTCTGTCTTTCTTTTCAGTTTCTTATATAACAATCATACAATAGATATTCGCTAAAAACAGAGAAGGTACATCGAATGAAGAGAAGGAAAACCTACAAAAACAAACACGAAGCAAGAATGAAAAGGTCAATAAGCTGCAGACCTAAACTACCTGTCACCTGGACCATTTAGCCATGGATAGCTTCAGCCTCCTAATGAATTAAAATTTCTCTAAATAAGATGGCATATAGCAAATTGACAGTGGAAACAGCAACATTTCTTTATTTGGCCGTATTCCTAATTCCAGAAAATGGAGCCCTAATATCAATCTAACTCAAGCATGTGATTATGATCCTGATTAAAACTGCAGAAGGCTTGGATGTTTCCATACTAAGTTACTAACCCTCTAGATTTTTTTGTCAGGATACCCTAGTTATTATTATTATTTTTTTTTCACGAGTGACTTTAGTTCTCCTTAATCAAGTGAAAACCATAAACAAGCAAGCAAGAACCGAGAAGCAGGGTGGTGGGTAAAATGTAACCTTACAAGGTGAAAATGCCAGAAGTCATGCACAGGTTCCTAATGATTAGTACTGAAAACTCAACCAGATGAGAACCAGAAATAATCCTCAAATGAAATAAAACATGCTCAAAACTCTACAAAGCTGAATAACACAAGACTCATGAAAAAGAAAACAAAACTAAAGAAAGTAGTCACTAAGCTCTTGTTAGTACTGAGAGATGATAAGAAAATAAAATCACTCGATTCTGTGTCATAAACAAAGATGCAGGTTAGCCTATGAAGGAAAACCAGGAAAAGAAAACAAACAAGAGGGAATATTTATACTTCATCCATGCTGACTAGTCTTTCCCTATAAATAAGAAAACAAGAATGAAGAAAGACGCAATCGAAAAGAAGAAAAAAAAAATCGGCATTCCAACTAATTAAAAGCAGTTGTTCGGTGAAAAAAAAAAGACATACCGGATTTATTGGTGACCAAAACAACAATGTCGCCCTTGACCCTTCCCTCAACAGTGGCCTCATGGATCGACCGAAAGTTTGACCCTCCACCGGAGACAAAAACTGCTAGCTTTTTATGTCGAACCCCATTTCCCGAATCTTTCACAACCGCGTTAAGGTCCTCTGCTTTTTCAACACTATTTGTACACTGTAATCTTCTCTTAATCTCTACCCTTTGTGAAACAAGCTTTGTATGATAATGGGTTTTAAAAGAAACCCGATTATGGGACTGAATGAAGGAAGAAGACGAAGATACTATTCTTGCTGTTGATAATTTTCTGGTCTTTTGAAGTATCAAGTTTGTAGAGTTTGAACAAAATTCAGAGAGCAAGCTACGGGCTTCCATTAAAAATACTGAACAGAAGAAGGGAAGAATGGCTATACAGATTATTATTGATTTACTTCAATTTTCCTCCAGTTTGGTTCAGCTCCTACTAGAAAGGTGAGATTTTGCAGGGAAACAACGGAGCGAACTGAGAACAAAAAAAAAACCAAGGGTATATAGATTGTTCCAGTACGATCGTGATTATGATAATAAGTTTTTGTCAATCTGGACCGTTTAATCACTGGGTCCCATTAGGATCTTTGTAATTATGGGCGTTAAAGAAATTTAAGAGAGGGTCCGCCAAATGGACGGACTAGATTGATGATAAATAGGTAAATATGCAAAAGCTGCGATGGTAGCACTGTATTAATATAGGTATGAAGTACTGGGATCATTCCGTATGTTCCCAAAAAACATAAAACTAGTCGGAGACGGGATGGAAAGGAGAAAAGGAGGAGGGAGAGAGAAAGAGAGAGAGAGAGAGAGGAAGAGGACGACGACGACGAGAAAGCAAAGTAAGCCCGGTTTTTGGTTTTTGATCCGAAGGATCCCGCCAATTTACAACCGATCCACCGCCTAGGTGTCTTTTCAAATTTGGCCGGTGAATGGAGGGTGTAGGAGCAAGGCTCGGACGGTCGTCTACACGGTACGGGCCGGCGACAGTATTCAGCGGCCCAGTAAGGAAGTGGAAGAAGAAGTGGGTACACGTGTCGTCATCTAGTGCCACGAACCATACTCCTCAGCCTAATGGTACTAATGGTAACAACGGCTCTCATCTGCTCCTCTATAAATGGACACCCATCACTCGGAGCAACAACAACAACAACGGAGACAAGAATTCGGCCAAGGATGACAATACTGCTGCGGTTGCTCCACCAGAGGAGCCGCCTAAACGGAAGTTTCGATACGTTCCGGTACTAATATAACGAAATTTTCTTTGCTGTTCTCCATTCTCTGTTTCTTTCAACTTGTTTTGTTTGTTTGTTGAAAAGGGTGCCAATGCTGCCATGGAGGATTCCTGTTATAAGTACTTCGGGGATATTAGGGTGTTTTGATATTGGGGACATGGGTTCTGAAGAAAATTGGATTGTTTCCAGTGGGTTTTAAGAATTGTTTGATTTATGACCTGGGTTTTCTGTTTAGCAGTGGTATTTGTGGGTGGGCTAATTAAGATTTTGGTCTTTGGGTTGTAATTTGTTTGGTTTTTGCTCTCTGGGATGCTTATATTTAGAAAATTTACTGCCCAACAGATAAAGTTTTGACACTATTAAAATTGGGATCTAAGTTTTTGAAAGATGTGATTGGAGGATCATGGAATATTTGAATTCTTGAGGAAATTATGTTCTGCACAGGTGCAATGCTGGCAACTTGACAAAGATATGTTGAGACTTGAGAGATAGGATTCGGTGAAAAAAAAAAAGAAAGAAACATTTCGGTAAGGTTGGATTGATAGTGTGTGTATTAGGTACTTGACCAATACAGCAAAAGCGATATTGCTGTTGAAACATGTAATGCTAGGGTGTTTAACCTTTAGAACCATAACATATAGCCAGACTTCTGAAGCTGCAGCTGACGTCTCAACAGCTCTCACTCTGGGCAGCTCTAACTCTAGTGGCAGGTAACTGTTTTCCTGGTGGCTCTCACTCCAGCTATAGGTATTCCACAGTGAATCCAATCTCGCAGCCTTTCCCTTTGGTGGCTCTCATTTTGCTCCAGATAGCCCTTTTCTCGATGGCTTTCACTTTACTCCAGATAGTTGTTTCTATGACTGCCTTCACTCTGGAAAATCTCTTTTCCCAAGTTAGCCCCTTCTATAATTTGAACCTGGTACATGAGAGTAGGTTTTGACACCAATCTGCCTCTGTGTGTGCACGCATGAGAGAGAGAGAGAGAGAGACTTTTTTAGTGACAATTTCCAAAGAGCCAACAATTGAAGGTGGCATCCTACTTGTTCTTTTTTTCTTTCTATTATATATCAAATAACCAATTTTGGGTTTATACCAAGGAGATCAGCCATGGAAGCTGTCTTTCTTTTGCAATGATAAAAGTTTTGAGAGAATAAGAGAAATCTTCATATGGTGTTTGTTGATCTAGAGAAAACATATAATAGAGTTCCTAGAGAGATAATATGGTGAGTCTTGGAAAAGGAAGGGAGTACACACCATTTATGATTGAGTGAAGGTTAGCATGAAGATCATCAGCACGATTCGCTCAAATCCCATTGCGCCTTTTCTCCAACCGTCGAAGCCCGCTGACAGAAGAATGGAGCAATAATTGAAGTTGCTCTGCAATCATAGACTGTAGCGCAGTTGCTGTCTGTAGCGCGACTTGTGGTCGTAGCGTGTCTTTTGTCTGTACAAATCAGGGTATACTTAGGACCAGAGATCAAGAGATAATTTGATGTGACCTTTTCCAGTACATTGGTTCGGCAATTCATAACAAGGGGGAGATTGAGGAGGATATCACCCACAGAATTAGAGTAGGATGGGCAAAAAGGAGGGGTGCATTTGGAGTTTTATGTGATAGGTGAATACCACTTAGATTAAGGTCAGCTTTGCCGTAGAGAGCAGAGTTCTGGGCAATCAAGAAACATGTCCAAAAAATGAGTGTGGCAAAAATGCATATGCTGAGATGGATGAATGAAAATACTATAAAGGATGAGATTAGAAATGAAGTCATTCAAAGGAACCTAATAGTAGTTCCAATAGGTGATAAAATGAGAGAAAATAGACTAAGATGGCTTTCATCACGTGTGTAGAAGACCATCAACAACACTTGTAAGAAGAAGTTAACTAGAAAGGATAAGACCAGAAATGAAGTCATTTAAAGGAACCTAGGAGTAGTTCCAATATGTGATAAAATGAGAGAAAAATAGGCTAAGATGGTTTTACATGTGCGTAGAAGACCATCAACAGCACTTGTAAGAAGAAGTGATTTGTTGCAAGTTGAAGGGGCTAGAAGGGGGTAGGGGTAGACCAAGACATGGGTAGAAGTAGTAAGAAATGATTTAAGTGCCAATAATTTAACAATGGATATGGCATTAAACAGAATGGAATGGTGAAACAGGATTCATGTGGTTGACCCCATATAGTTGGGAGAAAGCTTGGATGATGACATGGGTAGAAGTAGTAAGAAATGATTTAAGTGCCAATAATTTAACAATGGATATGGCATTAAACAGAATGGAATGGTGAAACAGGATTCATGTGGTTGACCCCATATAGTTGGGAGAAAGCTTGGATGATGATGATGTTGATGTTTGTCAAGTGCAGTTGATGTACTTCATACACCTTGCTTGATGAGAAGATGGATCAGATTATAAGAGATTGTGCCTAATGGGAACTGAGGAATAATGTATAGGAATAAAAAGAAAAGATAGGAAAAGAAAACATAAAAAAGAAGAAAAAATCATTGCATAAAGATTAGAATAAGTAACAAATAAGGAAGAAACCAAATTATAACTGTCTTTGTTTATTGGTGGGTCTTAGATTAATGTAGCATGAATTGTTTACCCAACCTGGTTGTTTGGATAGGATTAGGAAGCAACAAGGAAATATTTTATTCTTATTTTGTGGGTAGTGTATTCATTTGCTAATAGTTTTTGTTGTTGTTATTGTTGTTTTGTATACCTTACTTTACACAAGAACTCACCTGTACATGCTGCCCTGTTTGGGCTGACATATATAATACATCTCCTTTTTCATAAAAACTAATAATGATCCTTTGTTTGTCACTTCTTTGTTCTAGTTCTAAATTTCTTATATGTGGATACTGCTTTTGTATCTTACAATTTGTTATCTCATGTCTCCTGAGATCATCTTATAATTGCAATAATGTGATGCACTCTCAAGTATTTCATGTACAGTTTGTGTTTTGTCCAAGACAACTGCATGTCAATTGCTCTGGGAAAAATGGTGTTTTAGGATTTTAGATAGCTCTCTTGTTTATTAAATATCTGAAGAAATTTCAGATACTTGCTTGACTTTGTTCATTTCTCAGTGACCAGATATTGCATTGCTATCTGAATAGTTTAAAATCAATGCAATCTGCTAAGATGCAAATGCTTCTCCCTAACAATTGTGCAGGATCTCCTGAAAATCAAATGCATTGTTTATGTACAAAACTTCAGCAGCTATTGTCCTTTGGTAGATTTTCATGCCCTTAAAAAATCAAATTAATTTGTGAAATCTATCAAAGTTTATAATCTTTTATAGTTAATCTTTAACCATGTTTATATTCCTTAGATTGGCATGAATGATTATTTCAAGTTTTCTACCATACCTATCCACATTAATTTCTCTTAACAATTTCAAGAAATCAATATGACTTGCTTTTCCATTTTACAGTTCCTTTTATGCTATCTGATCGGGGGTTACACTTGAGGCTAAACCTATTCTAAGGGAAAATGAGCTGAGAAAATCCCACCTGACCTTTTGATCGAAACCATAATTGGTTTAGAAAATCCTGTTATTTGCTTCTGAATGAAAGCACCATGTATACATTCTACATTTGGGAAAAGAAAAGATGTATCTACTGAGTTCAGATATGCTGACCACAATACACTGGCCACAGGCTGGCCACAGGACACTACAGCTGCATATCAGGGAACGTTTCCCATGAATGACAACATGACTGTATGAGAGATGTTTCTGATCCGCTGCTGTAGGGTCTTGTGGCCAGCATATTGTGGTTGCAGATCCAGACTTGTATCTACTAACTTGTATAGAGAGCCAAGGACATTTGAAGGGCTGGACCTTGGTGACCACCATCTAAGGTGCCCAAGTAGAGTAGAGATTCCGGTGGTGTTTGACATGTTAAAAGGGAGTTCGCATCACCGCCCCACCGCGCCTCGCCCCACATGATGTGCGACTGACACCTGCCCAGTCGCATGCGGTGGGACATTCCCGCATTCGGGGCTAGCGGGACTGACATTAACCCCGCCCAGTAGCCCCAAAACGAACTCAAAAGGGCTTTAGTCTGCAACTCTGCAAGATTTTCCCATATTCTTGTCCACCCTGAAGCTCAAATCGGAGGCTCTGACCCCATTCTCTGCCTGAGCTTGGATTCCACCCCCATCTCCAGCACCGGCGATCTCTCCAGTCACATCTCTGAGCATAGAATTCAGATAATACCATTCTCTGTGTTTTCATATGGTCATTATGGTTGATACATGCAGGGTCATTTGGGAATTAATCAGTCGATGTATGGTTGAACCATAGAAAGATTACCAGAAAAGATGGAAAAAGTAGACTCCTTACAGGAGATCCACTGAGCACAAAAATGACTTAAGCTTGATTTTATGTTGATGTATGGTTGATTTTATGACTTTATGCATCAAACAGATTTTTTTTTTCACAAAAATGATTGAGCGTTTGAAGTTGGATTTAGTAGACTCCTTAGTTTTTTCTTTATGGAGCACTGGTTTCTTGAAATGAAAAATACCCACACAAAAAACAGTGGCCGGAGCAATTGCCGGTGCCGGAGAGGGAGGTGGAAGAGGGTAAAAAACGTCTCTGGTTTGAAAAGAAAAACAAAACATCAAAGGAAGGTTTAATGAAAAAGCCAAAGCCCTGGACAAAAAACAAGGGTTAGAACTTACCTGGTGACCGGAGCAATCACCAGTGCCGGAGATGGGGGCAGAGATCCGAGCTCGGGCAGAGAACGGGGTCAGAGCCTCTGATTTGAGATTTAGAGGGGCGGGAATATGGGAAAAGCTCGCAAAGTCGCAGACTAAAGCCCTCTTGAGTTCGTTTTGGGGCTAACGGGCGGGGCTAACGTCCGTCCTGTTAGCCCAGCATGTGGGAACGTCCCACCGTGTGCGACTGGACAGGTGTCAGTTGCACGTTGTGTGGGGCGAGGCACGGTGGGGTGGTGATGTGAACTCGTTAAAAGGAAAGAAAGAAAAAGGCACTGGGTTTTCTTCGGTTCTTTCCTGTTATCATTGGCAGCAGTACTCTGTGACTGGTTATGCTGATGCCTTTTTTTCTTTTTGAGTCGATAACTGTGGGGATCATTAAAGCTTGTTGAATGCTTATTCTAAATAAGGTTGATAATGCAGATTGCTGTGCTAGAAGAGCAGAAAATGGAGGCTGATGAAAAGACTGATGAGGAAACCAAACCAAGTGATGCTGACCCATCTGGAGGGGGAACCCCTAGGAGTGATAGTTCCAATGGAAAACCTGACATTAACGATGTGCCAATGGAAGAAAATCAGGTAATGCACAACTTTATTCATATGCTGTTAGTTTTCCTCCTTCCATGATTTTCTCTTTCCCTTCTTGGTGCAAGTCTCAGTACTCTCCTAATTGAGTGATTACAAGTTCTTGATTTCCTCTTTTTGCTCTTTTCTTCTGTTGTTAACTGAAGTTGACTTCGCTTGGGTAGATTTTGTGGTTTGGGTTCATTTGCTTTTTGCTAATAAAAGCTGCTTGTCAAAGAGGATCTCAGGTTTGTCTACCAAAATAGGTGAACATCAGACAAAAAAGCCAGTCCAGTACATACTGTGCAAACTTGAGTGTTTTATGTACTAGATATGGCTACGAAGCCTTTATATGCTCAGGAATCAATATCATTTTGTCATGCAAGAGCAGACAAGATGTCTAATCTCATTCGACTTGTTCAAGGATTTCCATGGACCTATTGGAGCGAGGGAATGTAGGATCACAAATAGGCTTTTGCAAATTTCATCATACAAAATTCAGAGATGTTCTTCTATACTTAAGCCATAAAGCCTTCATGGCAATTTATTTTGACAGTCTTATCTATTATATGTTGACTAAGTTCTAACAAGGCCAATATGAAGAATGAGATATAGATAATGACTATAGCCCAATAGTGTGGTTTACGTGCTCATTTATTAAGATTATCCTAATGAATATTTACCTGTTCAATGATCAAATTATATTTGGCACACTGCCAGAGTTGCATTGCTTGCTTATAGAAATATGGCAAACTTATGTCACTGGTGATGCCAATCTCTCTGCTCCATTTCTGAAGGGATGATTCAGATAGTTTCTGAGATAAATATGCTCTAAGCCGCTAGACTAAAATGATTTCAAAACTTAATTACAGGAGCCATGACTACTGGAATAAGGTTCCCTTGCTTTGTATTTTCAGGCTTCAGAGAAGGATCACTTGGCACCACAAGATTTGAGCGAAACTAGTTTGGATTTGAGCCTGGGTTTAAAAGCCCATGATGGTGATCGTGACCCCAACTCCAAAACAGAAGATCAGGGTAAAGAAGGGCAGCAGGAGAGAATGGGTTCAGGTGGTGGTGGAGCCTAAGGGATATAACCCACTAATTTGACTTCTAGGCTGCGACAAAACAGAATGAAGAGAATGATCCATTTGTGAAAACCTGATTAGAACGGTTAATCTTGTTCGCTTTCTTTTTCTCCCACATTTTAAACTTAGGGGAGAGTATTGAAATTGCATATTCATGATTACCAAGTGCTAATTTGATGCTACCTTTCTTTGCGTCGTTGCATAATGATCCTTTCTTTTCATTGGATCACTTCACTTTTTTCTGAATGGTTATGAGATTGGGTAAAACTTGCTCTTCTAGTATTTTCTTGCAGCAACACCAATTTGGCCAAAGGCAATAAAGGTCCTTTTTCTTTCTTTCATTTTTGGGTGGGGTGTTGTCAAAGGAAAATTGGACTCTTTTCATGGATGAATGTTATAGATTATCATGGGGATGTTGTAGGCTTGTAGTAATGCAATCCCAATACCTTCGTTCCCTGGTTGTTGTCCCCATTGTAAAAATTTACAATTAGCCAACTCCACAAAATTCTTAGAATATGCCTTACGTTGGCGTTTCTGCACAAGCATTAGCAAACAAAACAAGTATGCTGTTGTGGCTACTTATTTCAATGTAACAGCCAAACACTTTACAAGTATTTCACAAACTTGTGTTGAGTCTGGAATAAACCTCACTTCCAAAGAGAGGGGAGAGGAAGAAAATGACCATTCCTTCAAATGGAAAAATGCCATTCCAACAGAAATAGGAGCCAATCAAACCGTAGAAATCAAAATAATCAACTAGACTCCTGTTCCCACGAACCAAACGGACCAGCAGACTTCGGTCTCCAAATTCCAAAGCCCACGATTAACAAGAACAAATCCCCGGCTCTACAGAGTTTGCAACCCATCAGGCATCAACATTTTCCCCGGCCGTACGTAGCAGAGACCAATCCATACAACACAAGTGGAATTGCACGATACACACCCACGGGCCACGCCACATGTCAAACCCCTTGAGAAAATCTGATTAAAATAGTCTATGTATCGTCCATATAGAAATAGGCAAATCTGAAGACGTTTTTAATCAAACATATATTTCAACTGTCATGCCGTAGACATTCAAATTGATGACCCCATGCTATTTAAATTAGGTTTTAAATTGTAGTAATTTAATAATTTCAATCAAAATTTTCTTTGAATTATTCTGTCGCACTATTTGCTATAAATAAATAAAACAGAGCAAAATTTTCTCCACGCTATGACCAAAAATAGTATAGGCTAAAACTGATCTGGTTTAGATCTAACACTAGTTCTTTCTTCTCTTCTTCTCACAATTACAAGATTTCTCAAAGGAACATCTGATGATCATGGGATGACCAGCGAAGTAGACAAACCCTGTTTCAAGCTTCAGAACTTTCACCAGCTCCATTGTCCAAAGACTGGGTAACACCGACCTCAGCTGGCCGGATAACTCGGTCGTAGAGCATGTATCCAGACTGCAAAAATAGATACGTTGCAACTGATTAAAAATAAATAAAAATAGACAGATTGCAATTCGGTTATAGCTTTTTTGCTTTTACAATTTCCATCGTGCATTCTAATTTCTAATCAACTTCGCAAGGTAAATGTGGTTTCAAGGGATGGTCTTATTTCTCTACAATGCAACCAAGTGAATCTAATAACAGCCAAAGCCAATCCGTCTTCTCACCCCAGGCTACCAGGGGGAGCACCTAATTAGTATGGTTTACAAGTATTAAGAAAATATCTCTACCATCGGAAGTATACCTTTAGAACAGCAGCAACGGTTCCAGGAGGCTTAGAACCGTCTGGAATCTGGAAGACTGCATAATGCCTATGAGGGTCAAATTGCTCATTGATTGGGTCATATTTCTCCACTCCAAACTTTCTAAACACCTGAAAGCAGGAAACATCTATTAGAAACCTTTAAGACTACAAAAAGCACATTATTCATGCCATCCATAAGATCCCATCGTATTATAGGCACTTGTAAGAGCTAACATGGTTACAGCTAAAACAATTAGCAAGGTGAACCAAGATAAGAACTAAAAATGGACTTTGAGAAAGATATAACATATATCTGCCAAAGCACAAGATGAGAATGATTAATCTCTGGCAAAATGTACACTTAGGCTGCATTTGGCATTCCTTATTTTAAGGACTTATCTCCTTTTTGCAGTTAAAATGCCCCTATGAACACTGAGTTTTTAACAGTAAAAAGGCGATAAGTCCTTAAAATAAGGAATGTCAAATGCAGCCTTAAAAGGGTAATGGACTTTTTCTTTTTCTTAAAAAATAAGGGTTCCAGAAAAATAGAAAGAATAAAGTTAATAGAACATGAGAACCCAATTAAAGGAGGTATGCTGTACTAAAATAGTGACAGTTGAGGTTTCATCTTTGAGCCATCCATATTCATTTACTTCCTAAGCATATTAAAAGAAACAGTTTAACACAATGAATTAGACTGTCGCAAGAAAATTGTTTGGTCTTATGTTCCTGTTGTGGTCTGTTGGGAGGTTTGGAGAGAAAGGAACAAAATAATCTTTAAGGAAAGACAATAAGCATAGGAAGAACTTTGTTCAATTTTTTTTTTTTTTTGATGAATAACTTTGTTCAATTATTGGGAAAAGGATTTTGGAGTGAATCTTGATTTTACCATATTTCTTGGGGGTCTCAAACGAAGCTTTGGGGTAGAGATTTTGGTCATATTTAGAATTGGAGAGGGGGTGATCTTTAATGAATTTCCTTTTTTTATTTACTATCAAAAAGATTAATATAGACCGTCACAATAAGAATCCATAAATTATTTGAATTTGCTCGCTTACAAATCAAATATCATTATGATTTTATGACAATATTATCTTATGACCATGGAACAGTGAAACCCTTCAATACATTACCAGATTTCCAGAACAGCATCCTTGAGAATTTCTTCCATCCTGTCCATTAAATGGCTGCTGATTTTGTAATGGTAAACAGAGGGCATTGCTTGGTTTGGTAGTAAAATCTCAGGCTGACAAGCGTGAGAACATTGGTTTGAATCTGAGAACAGCTACTTTGTGCAATAAAGTGCCAAAAAGGTTGGGTCAGTATATCCGGTCCACCCTTCCAAGGACACCAGATAGCTGTGACCTACGGGTAATGGCCTTTTTATTTTGCAAGGGTAAATGTTATAATACAAGTTGACCATGCAACCAATGAAAAATGGGAAACAACAAATTAACTTCTGCAACATACTTATGTTGTCCATTTGGTGATCAAATTCTGTCTATGGAAAGGGCTATTCTGGTGTTTGTTTGATAACAATTGAACGGACTGAACCGAATGACATGTTGCTTTGCCTTTTGGAGGTTAAAATAGACATAATAAAATACTTAGGGGTACAGCAATCAACTCAATATGTCATTCAGCAGTTAAGGAGTCAAGTACCTACTTAATGACATTCACTAAAAGACAAGGCAAGAGTCATTCACTTCAGCCATTATCAAAATCAGATGGACCTTTGGGAATAGGTGGCAAAATTCCACCAGTGGTACGCAATACAAAGTTTGCAAACCGAAATTAAGTTCTGAGAAAGTCTTTACTCAAGAATTAAGATGACCATGGGACAAAGGACCAAACAAGAGGCGGGGTGGAGGAGATAATACAATAAGCTTTCCCAAAGTAAATGCATTACCTCTACAAGCTGCTTATCAGTCATCTCAACACCTTCCAGAAGTGTCTTTAGAAGTGGCACGGCTCCAGCAGTGTCGTTAGATGCATCAATCTTTGAAAAGTTATCTTTGACTACTGAAGATGCCCTTCCAAGATTGTCTGCAACATCTAACAGACTCTTTGCAAAGCTCTGGAGCATATTTCATACAACAGGCACTGTTAGGGTTTAAATGAAATGCAAGGAAATAACCAGATTTTCTGATAAGAGATCAATAATGCAAATGAATGATCACAAGCCATGACTTAGAAACAATAATAAGCCACCAACCTGAATAGCAAACTTTTTGGAGTTCTCTGCTTCACGTCTTGTCCTATCCATAACATTTTCCATTTCTGCATAACTACGGAGAACTTTATCTTGCATTTTGTCAATCTCCTTGTTTTTCATCTTTAGTAGCTCTTCCTTTTCAGCAACAAGCTTTACAAGATCATCAATGGATAGCTCATCCTCATTATCTGAACAAAAAATATGCAGTTTGTTTAGTAACTCTCTTGTTGACAGATAGGTGAGTAGGAGATTTATATTCTGAACTAGAATCTGCACCTTCTGTTTTCTCTTGCACTTTAGCATCTCCATTTGTCTTTGTGGCCTCAGCATTAGCAGGGGTGCCACTCACATGTTCATCTCCAGTCTGGTTTGTTTCCTTTGCACTGGGTTGGGGAGATGCAGATGAGAACCCAAATCGCTGAGACAATGAGGTATTAAGTGCTGAAGAATGCCAAGTCATTTGGCTCAGAAACCACTGGAATGGAAATCATACCTTGTTAAAATAATATCATGAGCATCTTCAATAAAATAAAATTTAAAAAAAAAAAAAACTATATCAGAAATAAGAACAAGTAGAAACATGAAGATATCATGAAAAGGTGAACGAAAGGATCAATGCAAATTGATGCTTTTAGATGTCCAGTCTGCAATTGAGCATAGTGTCATAAACTGGAATCCTAAGGATGAAATAAATGCACCAGTAGGAGGAAGTGGCCTTGTCCAAGTTAAAGGTTATAAACAAAATACAGAAATGCCAAATTGCCAAACAGAAATAAGAACAAGTTAAATTAATATTAGAAGCATTTCCAATAGAAACATGAAGATATCATGAAATGGTGAACAAAAGGATCAATACAAATTGATGCATTTAGAAGTCCAGCCTGCAAGTGAGCCTAGTGTCATAAACCGAAATCCTAAGCATGCAATAAATGCACCAGTAGGAGGAAGTGGCCTTGTCCAAGTTAAAGGTTACAAAAACTGAGCTTCAGTTAGGGAGCAAAGACTCATTAGCTCATTTATTAATTTAACAAGGCTATAAAAAACGTTTTTGTTAAAATAATATTAGAACCATTTTCATTAAAAAAACTATATCAGAAATAAGAACAAGTTAGAAACATGAAGATATCATGAAATAGCAAACAAAAGGATCAATGCAAATTGATGCTTTTAGATGTCTAGCCTGCAAGTGAGTATAGTGTCATACACCGAAATCCTAAGGATGCAATAAATGCACTAGTAGGAGGAAGTGACCTTGTCCAAGATAAAGGTTATAAACAAAATACAGAAATGTCAATCAATTGCCAAACAGAACTGAGCTTCAGTTAGGGAGCAAAGACTGATTAGCTCATTTATTAATGGAATACACGACAATAGACAGAGCATAACAAAGCAGAGGATTTGTGTTGCCAATCCCCACTAGGCCATGATGAGGCAGACTGTAGTGATGATTTAAAAAGGCACAGGAAAGCACATACTTTTTCTCTAGAAGGATAACGTATATATGTATTACTCAAAAAATGTAACAACAGGGATTAATCAGCAAATAAGACTACTATCCATCCTAAGTTAACCCGTCTTAAGCACTAATGCATTCTAAACACTCGAATATTTGGCACCACTTACCCATCCATCCAGAAAACCCAAGTGCTTTGCCAATTTTTAGCTGGAGTATAAAGCCCCAGATTCCATATGGAAAGCTACAGAATACCAGGTACCCCGGTATCATAGGATACAGCTGGGAAAGTTGATCGGCATGGAATTTAGACTAAAAGTTGAAATTTCCAACAACACGATACCCATGTACAAGCATTTAGTGTCATTTTTGAGGAATTTTTTATCAAAGCACCGGTGAAGCATTCCTTAAGGTATACAATTCTTTTATAACCTAACACAAATATTATATTGGCATCTGAATCTTTTTAAAGGTAAGCTGAACAGGCCTTTTTTTCTTATGTATTATTGCACATGTTCTCAAGCGTTTCTTGATTACAGATGCAAAATTAAACAGGGAAGTTAAAAGTTAATGGGAAGTTAAAAGCTATCCCACAGAAATAACATAAAAAATTCCACCAACTGAGAGGATACCGCGCAGATTGAGCACCAACCAATCTAATATGAAATAAGTATCAAAGGTTTAAATGTGTCCAAAAAGAATCACAAAACATAAAACAGACATGATTATAGCGCAAAGGTAAATACCTTGCATTTCTTTCCATAAACTCCTAATCCGTAAACAACCCAGATAATCGAACTTTTAGCAAAATTCAATCTCAAAGACAACTTTTCTTTTTCTTGAAAAGAAATCAAAATTGCAGTAAACAGTGAAGTATGAATTAATCTGTACTCCACAAGCATTGCTCGGTTCGAAGCAATTCCTGTTCCAGAACCCGTAGATAGACCTTAAACCCTAAACCCCACCCTCCAAAACACGGATAGAAAGAAAAGTTGGGTTTTCTTCTATCCAACAAGAGAAAAATCACGCATTGAGAAAAAAAATATATAAAACTAGAATAGTTAAACAATAGGAAAACCATGAATTCACGCCAACTAGCTCCGGGAAGCCCCTGAAAGCCCTAGACTCATTCTAGCGGCAAAGCCTCAATAAAACCCTAAACAGATAAACCACTGGGAGGGATAACCTTACATTGTTAGTTGATTCACGAATAGAATGAAAGCCATAGGGGATAACCGACAACTTCTCTTGGCGAGAAGAGACGAGGACGCCTCGGGCGTTATTCAAGAGGTTCCTCGAAATCCTAGAAAATACCCTTGAAACGAACATCTCCGTTTAATTCAGAATAGCAACCCAGCTTCTCTAAGAACCGTGTAAACAGGAAGGAGGACTGGAGGAGGAAGTATTGTGCTTCGGTGCTTGGAGAGGAAGAAAGAAGGCGTAAGGGGTATTTGTATATAAAAAAGGGGTAAATTTTTTAAATTACCCTTGTAGTTTAGTTGATTGGCTAACTCTATCCTTACGGTTTAACTATTGTCCTTCACCGCCATTATTGTTAAAATTCATACACATGCGATACCACGTGAATGCGTGATATATAAATTTAATTTTACCCTCCGTCCCTCTTCTATAAGTCGGATAAGAATCACCGCCCGTGAGAGAAACTGTTACGATTATCGTCTCTTTGGGGCACTTGCTTCACCAGTAACTGGTCTTCTTCAGGAAGAAAAAGAGGGAGTTTCTCGTTCCACATGCACACAGAGAGAGAGGAGGTGAGAGAGTGAGAAATATATAGCGGGAATATTAACAAACAGATAGTTACAGAGGCGTTATCAAATCCACCCCTACAAGTTGTAGCGGTGGTAGCGGAACAGGGGAAGTGAAAGAAGAGGGGAGAGAGAAAGAGAGAGAAGGAGTTAGATAGCGGGAAAGAAAGAACGGGAGATAGGGAGACAAGAGTGAGAGAAAGAGTAGGAGAGAGAAAGGTTACCAAATTTTCCGTACAAGTTGCAACAGCGATGGCAGAACAGGGGAAGTGAAAGAGTAGAGCAGAGAAGGAGAGATAGCGGGAAAGAGAGAACTGCTGCCATTTGGAGGAGCTCCAGGTGATTCAAATGGGGCATCTTCTTTGTCAACGGCGTGACCACCTTGTTGGAGATTGAGCCATCGAACGGAATAAATGGTTGTTCGACATCGTACTAGAGCGAGTATGAACCGACAAGGGTTGCCTGAGGGGGAGGAGATAAGCAGCTGAAGGCGGAAGGGGTCATCTCCTTCCCAAGAAGATTAGGAGAAATCTTCCCAAGAACATTGGGGGAAATCATTGGATACGATCTCTATAAGTACGAAAGCATCTCCACAGACGGACCAGCTTGCAAGTCCGATCGACGATGGCGATCGAAAAGGAGACACTGGAGTGGTGAGTTTTGATAACTCTTGATACAGCAGCGGCGACAAAACGCCACTACGTCAGGTTACAACTGGATGGGTGAATAGGGTCGGCCAAAGGTGGAACTCCGAAAAAGAAAGAGTTCAAGAAGGAGAAAAAAAGAAAGAGAAAGATAGAGGGAAGAGAGAGAGAGATCGATGGAGGAAAGGGTGTCGATGTTCTACCGCTGCGTTGAGAGGAAGGGGAAGAAGAAATGATTAGGGAAACCCGATTGACTTATTCTTTGCATGGAAGATTAAATCATCGTGACAAATAGGCAGTTCACTAGTTATAGGCAGCTCGCCACCCGAATAGCTTGGCACTTATAGGTACTTCGCCATAGCTCAGCACTTATAGGCAGCTCGCCACCGTGCAGCACTTACTGGTAGCTCGCCACCATGTAACATTTAAAGGCAGTTCACTACCATGCAGTTTGCCACCATGCAGCATTTACAGGCAACTTGCCACCATGCAACACTTACAGGCAGTTCGCCACTATGCAACACTTACAGATAGCTCGCCACCATGCAGCACTTACAGACAGCTCGCCACCATGCAGCCTGACACCTTACAGACAGCTCGCTTTCTAGTCAGACTGACCACCGCATGACAACCCTGAGGATCACCACCATACCCCGCATTTTACAAGATTATGACTTGTAACGGCTATATTAGCTCACCTACTCCCCGATTCAGGCGAAGATGGGCAACCTTACTGGTTGGTGGTGTTATCCCCACCTAACACGAAAACAGGTCCCATCACAATGAGAATCCAGAAATTGCTCCACCAAACCCACGATGACTCCAGTATATAAAGGCCTCACCCCCCAGGGGCGAAGAGGGAGGAGATGAGAAGGTAATCTCTGCCCTCTAGCTCTCCCACTCTCTAATATTATTTCAGCTCACAACTAAGTGCTAACTTGGCCATCGGAGTGACCTCGTTGGGTAAACACCCCCGGGTTCTCTGATTCAGTTCTTGCAGATCAACCAGGTCCGTTGTCTACAAAGATGAGAAGATCATCTCCTACAGGGAACAGTTAGGTTGTGCTACACCAGGGAGCTCCACTTCAGCTTCTGAGTCATCGGCCACCTGGGAACATACCAAATGACGAGATACTTAGTCAAAAAAAAATGATATATGACCAGAAACCGTTACATCAGTTTCCATCAAAACAACCAGTCGCTACTAACAATGATGCTCCACCAACGAGGGAAAATCGTAGGTAACACGTCAGGTATCACTAGTTACACTTGAATCTTGCGGTGGCGGTGAGCCGGTGACAATGCGAGAAGAGATAGAGAAGAATGAAGGGACAGGAAAATGGGATCAAAGGAGATTTAGAAGGGCAAAAAGGATATTTCATCCTTTCTATTACAATTTAACGGCGATGGCAATTGTTAGAAACAGTAGGGTGTTTTTATACTATGTATGACATGTACATTTTACCAGCATAGGTTGGTTGATGATTGTTCTGTGAACCACACTCACTTAGCTTCATGCCTTCATATTCAATGGACACTACTTGCTTAACAGCTACCATGTGTCAGCACATATATCCAATGGTTTGGATTGTTAGGGCTTCCTTCTTTGCTCAGTTCCATAGAAAAAAAGAAACGTTCCAATATTGGATAATAACTTGCGCTTGCCAAGTCAATGTATACATGGAGCCATGCCACCTGGTCATTGCAAGAAACACTAACATCTTGTTCCAAGGTGTTTTTGTTTCTGTCTGTTTCTTCCTTAAAAAGGTTTAACCAAATGTGTTTTTTGATCGTTGAAGTAAAATCTCCTACGTGGTGTCTAGGTGGACTCGAAATGGCCGTGCAACACCACGGTACTAAACAATATACCTTAGTTTAGTCAAGCTACAAAAGAGCCAGGAAGACTATTTTTAGCGTGGAAAAACCAAAAGTTTTATTTGAAGCTTCCCAATTTTTTGGCTTTTTCAACTTTTTTTTGTGCATTCGTCTTCGAATCCTTTTGTCTACACAATACCAAATAGGAAAATACCACTCTTTGGTCTTTAGCTTTCCACTAATCAAAAGATGCACCAAACACCACGGGTCTTCCTTTTGTTAGGGTAAACTACCATTGGTTTACAAATCTTTCTGATATATCCCAAGTATCGGAAACGTCAAATGTATCGGAAAAGCAATTTTAAGAGACGTATCGAAAATACTTTGAAAAACTAAGATGTGCATAAATACATTTGGAAACACTATAAATACTTTAATAATTTATAAAAATGCATCAATAACACTAAATATAAGACCTCAATGAGGTGTATATATATTAAATTAATATGTTTTAATAGTTTTGTGAAGAAATATATTGTAGTTAATTATAATTTCACTAAAAATTGTATGGTTAACTATAATTTATAAATTATAATTCTTAAGTTTTAGTGTTTTATGGGATGGGAAAAACCCAACTCTCCTATCCAACCATAAAATATGCATTGGCACAATTTCTAAGTGAAAATATAATTAATAATAATTTATTATTTATTTTCAAAAAATATAACAAATAAATAAACATTATATAATATATTCAAAACATAGTTACTAAAGAAGAAATTTCAATTTCTTTGTGGATATGATAGATCATCCATAGAATTATAATATATTCAATCATTGTGATCAAATGATATAATATAATTATTTATTTATTTATTCTATAAATAAAAAAATAATTATTAAAGAAGAAATTTCAATTGCTCTATGGATATGATAGATACATCCATAGATATAAAACATAATTAGTCTTTATAGGCAAAGAAAAAATTACATTTTCAAATTTTTTGTTAATTTATATTTCCCCCAAATATCTTTATGAAATTTCCATAAATCTACCGATAACACAAAAAAAAAATGATTTGGAATGTAAGAAATGTAGATTAACATAAATTTATACATTCAAGAAAAAAAAGAAATTATAAGATATTATAAAAAAATGAAAAAAAAATTACCTATCTTTACCATTTTTTTTTCAAAGTTTGAAAATTCTTTAAAAAATATTAACAATTCACACTTGTTTCTTGTAAATTTTTTCAAACCTAACACTTTAGGAATGAGATTTGGAGTTTTAGAGTCATTTGGGGGGTAAAAGAAAGCTTAATTCAGGGAAAAGAAGCTTACTTTTCCCTTTTATATTTTTTCAGTTTTTTGTCATATCTTTTTCGTCGATATGCTACCAATACACCTCCGATACGCTCCAATATGCCTACGATACGCCCCGATACACCCTCGATACGGGTCCGATACACATAATTTCTATGCGTATCTTGTATCAAAGTTTTAAATCTTGGATATACCTTCCTGGCAAGTTCAGATCACTTGCCAACAGAATATGTTCCAAAACCCTCCCAACATGATTAAACACTACACATCTCATTCATAGCAGGTCCCACTTTTATGGTGGGTCCCAATCTCATGGTAAGATGTGTGGTGTCAAATCATGTTGAGAATGTGTTGGAAGGTCTTTTATTGGCAATGATCCCAGCTCCTTTTCTGGCATGATAGTTGAACTATGTGCCAAATTGATCAAAAGTACCCCGAAGCTTTTATTAGACATGGAGGTCAAGTATACAGAGACAAAGACCCACTTAAACTTTCACTTTGTGACAAAACACCCCGATCATTAAATTAGTTAACTGAATGCATTAAATTAGCAAAATGCCCACCTAAAGTTTTCTTATTTTTTTCACTCTTCTCTCTTAAATCATAATTGATTAAAAACACCTCCATTTTCTCTAAACAAAACCAAACTAAAATAATAAGAATCATTTCATTGGTATAGAAAAAAATGTTTTTTATGCATTTCACTTACATGAATGTCTCATATCTTGAAATATAGAAATTATTCACTTCTTTATCAAATAAATGGAAAAAAAGGCAAACAAAACCATAAACTTATATCTATAAGAAAGAAACTTCTACCATTTCTTTTGAATAGTCTAGCCATGAATTTGCAAGGATCTATTGGAGCAACTGAGAGGGCTTCAATGTTATATTTAAAAATAATAATCAAATTATAAACCATTCAAAGATATAAAAAAAGGGCAATTTGAGGATTCAAAAAATTTAAACATTTAGATGAGAATCTTTCCATTCAGCTCATTTTGGGAAGAGTGCAAATATAAATATGCTGTGTAAAACCTAGTATTTTTAAACCGTATCTTTGCATTGTATATATTTGTATTTGTAAAACCTGTTAATGCATATTCTTTTTGAATAAAAAAGAAAATAAAATCTTATATAAAATATGTACAGTACAAATACATACACAATAATACAAAATACAAAGATTTGCATTCTACATATTTGTATTTGTACTTCTTCCAAACTGAACCGTAGTGTTATATACAATTCGTGTTTCATTTCCACAGTTCCACCATTTCAATCTATCAAGGACCTAGATAACATCAACGAGGCAAAGATACCAACCAGCTGGTTGGTAAGGTCTCCTACTGGGTTGGGGGGTTATAGGTTGGGACATGGGTTCCCCCGTGTAGCCCTTCAGAAGATATCAATACATAAATAAATAACATCAACGAGCAATCGTGCATGCAATTAGACCATCCATCACATTGGGCCCATTTGGATCAACCACCTTTTGATGATTTTTTTAATCATAATAGCTCTCAAACTTTTCGGGTTTTTATATTTTCCAATTTAAAATGTGCCCATATCTTGAGCTCGACGAGAGATATTCTGGATAAACCATTTCCATGAATAATAATAGGGTGAGAAGAACAAAAGGAGGGCTTTTAGTTAACATACAATTGACACTTTTAAGTTTTGATAGAACTCAATTAGCACATGTAAGAGGATAGTAAGTAAGCTATCAAATATCATGTGATTCAACTTACATGAGAAGTGAGATCCGGGACTCAAATATGCATCAATAAGCGAGATAGGGTCCTTGCCGCAAACAGACTCGATTGCCACCATGATTTGAGATAACAATGGTGTTCCATTGGAAATAGGTGAGCAAATGGGTAAGTTCTACTTAGAACCAAATGGAATCAAATTCGAACTGGCCTTGAACTAGTCCTATCCAATCTGTTACAGGGTAGGGTCTGGTTCCAAAGGTCTAGGGGTTTATCCCACTCAAAATAAACCTCAAAATATTTTTAAGGACGTGAAGATTTGAACCCAATCACCCATGGTTACAAAAGTCATGGTCTCATTAGACCATTGAGTTACTTAAGTGATTTTATAATTTATTTTTATTTTAATACAAGGTGGTGTGGAGTGTCTTGCTATAATAATAATGTAAAAGGTAATATTTACAAAATTTAAATTATAATGACAAATTTTAAACCATATATTAATATATTGTGATAATCTACATATTAAATTAATTAATTTAATCAATAAAGATAATATAAGTTTTAAACTATATATTGTCATTATTGAATATCAAGTTTCCAAACGACATTTTTTATTTATTTTTTTAAGGAGAGTAAAGAAAGAACAAGTTTTACAGGTAGCCCTAGAACTGACCCCAGAACCACATCGATGCCAGAACCGACCCCAGAACTGACTTTCATAGGATAGGTTCTGGTTTCAAAAACTTAGAACTGAGCCCTATAGGGTATAGGGTAGGTTCCAGGTTTTGCCATGAAGCCGAACTGAATCCACCCATGCTCACCCCTAATTGAAAACACCCTGATCAAAAGACAGATTTGTTCTTCAAGTTCAACCTTTATTGGCTAGTATCCCCGTGGCTCGGTAGGAAAGAGGAAATACTCTAAGTCGAGGAGACCATCCAACAAAGTTGGTTCAACTTAACAAGGATGGGGAGGTGATCAAATCTGATATATATCTACAATGGTGATGGGAAGTAGGGGCTATAGAAATTGTTCTGTTTCCTCAACCAAGACTCGTAAAATTTAAAGTTTGGTCCAATACGTAACCATTGAATCAAACCATGCAACAAAAATCTACAAAAAACAAGTTGTAACCACACATCTGAACTCTGAAGACAATGCTTGAATGCAAAAAAAAAGTAATCAAGATGGGCTCAACACCCCAAGATACACAATGAGAAGTCTAGGGAGTTCTTTGTTATTATTCTTTTGTGGCAGCCACTTCTGTCTCGGAAAAGTAATCGTGCCTGGAAGAGATGATGAGACATCGTGTTAGAATTGCTAGACTCAGCTTGGACTCGAAAGAAAGCAAAGAGAGAAGAGACAAATGAAAACACAACCACATTCTCAACTAGTCAGCAGATTGTGCATACTGGACATAGATGATAAAAAATAGCAGTTTAATTGATCAGTCATGGGCGTCTCAATGGTACAGAGGTTTCAACCAACCTAACCACCTCTTGGGTTGGCCTCAGGTCAATATTCCCAAAGGATGATCCTGAACATCCAGATTGATAACATCTTTTGATTCATGCCATTGCATACAACCATTCTCTTTGACTGGCCAAAAGAATGAGACTGGCTAGTAACATTATTCATCCCAACCTGCAATGTTCCAGTCCACCCCTAAAACCCCACCTAAACTGATGAGTTTAGGAACAGAGAAACTCTCTATCCTACAGGTTCTACACTATAATTCCCACAATCCAAGATGAATAGCATGAAATGATATGTAGCTTACTGAATTTTGCGTGTCAGTTGGTAAAGCCCTGTCCCAGCCATTGCAACATTTACACTGAAAAGGTTCCAGTTTTTCTGCAATCCCAATATTATTTACACAAATTATTAGAACTAACTGCAAGCCACAACCCAATGAATTTTACAGAGTAAAACTCGAGAAAAAATAGCATAAAATGAATTAGAACATTTCTTCCTTATGGTATCAAGATTGTGTTCCAGGGATATAATATATAACTGCGACAACACCACAAAGAGGTTAGAAAATAAACCAGAACGATATCTATTGAAAATGCACGGTTTGTGCATTATGCTCCTTTTCCTCGACATTCTGGTAGTACCATGAAATATAAAAGGTTGACCTTGAACCAAATCAGAAATTTATAAACAAGCTGATAGCTATATAAGCATATGCTACTGGAGCTTAAAAGTGCTCACAACATTCAATTTTCTTGAGGAACTTTCTTTAATCTACTATACATGGGGTGGGGGGAGAACATTGAAGCCAGAATTGTTGGGGTGGTGGAGAGAATTCCTCTAATATAGCCTGAATTTGTTGGACTTCCTCCCTTAACATGCAAATTTAAGAGTACCCAAAACATTCAAAACAAGAATACACTACTCCCTTCCCCACAAAAAAAAAGGAAAAGAAAAAGAAAACTGTTAAATTTATTTTCACAAATGACCTACCAGAATATCAAATTTCCACTTTGACTAGCTTATTTTCCATTTTTATCAGCAACGATATTAAAATGATTTATTTTATTATTGTTGATAAAAAATGAAATATCCACCTAAGTAACAAGTGCAGAAAACTTCCCTCAAAAATGAAAAGAAACATATGGCAAAACAGAAACAACCACCAAAGCTGGCCCTTGTATCTACATGTATTACATATATTACCTCGACAATTTCATCTCTCAAACACAGTTGGAAGGGTAGTGTGATGCAGACTGACCAGCATCCCCTGCAGTTTGCTAACACAGGGTTCAGACCTAAACTCTACTCTCAGACCAGAAACTTCTGGTCTAATCATATGGTCCCAAAACCCCAATTTTGTGATACATAGTCAGAGACCCTTCATGTTCCCCAAAGTTCCTGCCTTAGATGCAACACACCATGGATGGAAGTATGGATATTTGTCAAATCATGTAAATCTTTATCTGTTTATTCAGTGCTAAGTTTTGTTGAATTATGTATATATTTACTTCAGTTAATTTACTAAACTGAGTTTCACACCTAACATAAATTATTAATAAATGCTATTAGGAAAAAAAATACAATTAGGTGCTGAAACTTGAATATATGCAATACCTAAGCAGGAATGCTCCATTGACCTCGTGTAATATGGTTTTTCAACATATTATCAAATTTTTAATTGCCATTGAGTTACAAACTTACAATTTCATTCATTAGCTCTTTTTGCTATTGATGTTTCATTTTTTTATGCCAATAATGAAATGCATCTAAAATATGAGCTACTGTCCTATATTTTACCAAGCACTTGGCCTATTGACCTATAAAATTAATATGGGATAATGTTACAAATAGAAAACAAGCTAGTTAGTAAACATTTGACCTTTGCCTTTTGGTGCTTCAGTATGATGCCCAATATAACTATTTTTTGAGTGTGGTGCCATCTATAACTAGCTTAAATTTGTGTGTGCCGATTCTTGCCCAAGGAGTGTACTGAGGTCCCTTGAAACTTTGATCATGAATTACGAACATGAAACTCCATATAACTATAAATGATAGTGGGGAGGAGCGGGAGGAAGTGAAATCCCATTGAAACCTTTGTGCTTTGCTGTTTTGCTTAGCATAGTAATTTTGAGTAAACTAGACCCCCCATATTCTCTCTGTTCATGAATTTTGAATACGTAATTTCAAATATATTTTAATGAGGAAGTAGCGGAGGGGCCCCTGCGTTGCAGGGGCTTGCAAAAGGTAAATTATTGTATAAGGGAAAAAAGAATTTGAAGGAGGCAATTTTTTTAATTAATTTTTTTTGGAAAAATTAACAGTATTTTAATTAATTTAATTAATGATGATTCATTAATTACGGTATTTATTAATTAGCAGTGCCTATTATTTAACAGTATTTAATATTAATTAGCAGTATTTATTATTATTTAACATGCAGTATTTATTGTTAAGCAGCAGTATTTAATAGTATTTATTAGTAACAGTATTTTATTAAATAAACAGTATTTTATTAATTACTGTATTTATAAATACAGTATTTTATTCAAATCCGAGCGGACTCGGATTGGATTCGAGTGCATATTTTTAATAATCGGATCGAGGTTCAGATTTTGCTGAATTCGATCTAAATCCGATCTGATTACAGCCCTATAAATAAGATGATATAATATGATCACTTTACACATGTTGTCTCAGCACACAAGTAAGGCTGTCAATGGGTTGGGTCCAACCACCGGATGGACCCAAACCGATTGGGTCAGTTCTGGTTCTAGGAACTAGAGTCGACAGGTCAGTTCCGGGTCCTGATATAGTGTCCCGATTATTATTGGTTTGGAACCGGTTCCACCTAGTCACGAAGTGGTTCAGACCTGAACCGAGCTATATACATAATATATATAATATTTAATATATATTAAACATATATATTTATTTATTTTAATCAGGTCTATCGGGTCAGACCCGATTGTCCCGAGAATCGATCAGTTCAGTTCTAGGTCTGAAAATTATAGACCCTATCAGGTCCGGGTCCTCGGTATTTCATGTCGGGTCGGTTTCGATTCTAACTGATCCCGACCCAGACCCAACCCGTTGACAGCCCTGCACACAAGAGAGAGAGAGAGAGAGGTTATAACTTATAAGAGAAAAAAGGAGGGACTCGGTGAGGAGCACATCCTGTTTGAGAAGCTGAATAGTGGACTTCTCTTCGCATGTTGGAAGGGGAGCCACGTGCAAAATAATAGATTTTCCTCGCACGCACACTTTATAACCCACACGTGGGAATACCATTTTCTCAATGCTGAATGCATCCACATATCCCCAGAGAGAGAGTTGGTTCCTCTGCTTATGTCGAAATGGGCAGATTTTAAAGTGGAGGGTACAAGCTCTTACATCTTGGCAAAAAAGATTAAAGGGATCAAAGAGGTGCTGAAATCTTGGAAAGTGGACCTTCAAGGAAAAACGGAAGCGGAGAAAAGAAAGTGCCTAGCGGTAATTAAAGAACTGGATTTGGCTGAAGAAGTGGGACCCCTTAGAGAAGAAGAAAGAAGGAAGAGACTTCTAGCCAAAGTGACTTTAGACTCATTAGCTTACAAGGAGGAGTTAAAGTGGAGGCAAAGAGCCAAAGTTAAATGGCTTAGAGTGGGAGATAAAAACTCCAGTTTCTTTCACAAAATGGCAAAAGCAAGGAAAAGAGTAAATCAGATTGAGAAACTTGAATGTGGAGAGCAAGTGGGTGAAGACTGGACAGAAATGAAACATAGTCACTGGTTTTTCCTCAGAGTTGTTCAATGAAAACTGGGCAAGAAGGCCCTTTCCAGAAGAGCTTAATTTCAAGTCTTTCTGTGGATCAGCAGAGGGAGTTAGAAGCGCCCTTCACAGAAAATGAGATATGGCAGGTAGTTAAAATCTGGGAACTGAAAAATCCCCAGGGCCGGATGGTTTGACTAACACTTTCTATAAACGGTGCTGGGAGGGGGTGAAAGGGGACCTGTTGAAGGTGTTCCATGACTTTCACCAAAATGGATCATTGGTTAGAAGTTTGAACAGCACTTTCATCTCCCTTATTCCTAAGGTGGAAGGTGCAACAAACATTAAAGACTTCAAGCCAATTAGTCTGCTAAACAGTTTTTATAAAATTCTTCCCAAAGTCCTAGCAGAAAGAATGAAGGTCCTTAGTGTGATCAAGGAGAATAAGTTTGCGTTTGCGCCTGGTAGACAGCTGTTGGATAATGTGTTGGTGGCAAATGAGTTGATTGACTCAAGAATAAGAGAAGGTAAACCAGGGCTGCTTTGTAAGCTGGATTTGGAAAAAGCATATGATCATGTAAACTGGAAGTGTTTGGACTTGGTGCTAAAGAAAATGAACTTCGGACAGAAGTGGAGAAATTGGGTTAAGGAATGTATTTCCTCTCCAAAGTTCTCAGACTTAATGGGCAACCCATGGGATTCTTCAAAAGTTCTAGGATTAAGACAAGGGGATCCCCTCTCCCCTCTTCTGTTTATGTGCAGAAGGTGGGGGTTGTGGGTCTATGGAGGGATTTTGAGGTCTTTCCGGGTGGGGAAAGTGTTCAGATCCTACAGTTCACCGATGATACTCTGTGTTTCATTGATGCAGATGTTGATCAACTGAAGATTCTCTTGGGGGTGCTTAGTTGGTTTGAAGTGGTTTCGGGTTTGAGAGTAAATTGGACCAAAAGTAGACTAATTTCAGTGGGCAAAGTGGAGAATCTTGAAGAGCTCACAGAGATTTTACCTGGTCAGATTGGATGTTTGCCTATTTCCTATCTTAGCCTCCCTCTTGGAGCTAAATGTACCTCTACAATGGCGTGGGATTCGGTGGTTGAGAAAGTGGAGAAGAAGCTTATGTCTTGGAAATCCAATAAACTGTCGCTGGGGGGCAGAATCACATTACTAAAAAGCTCACTCTCTAATCTTCCAGCCTACTTTTTATCTTTATTCCCAATTCCAGTCAAAGTAGCCCAAAGAATTGAGAAAATCAGAGAGACTTTCTTTGGAGGGGTTGGGAGGAGGAAACGAAATTTCATCTAGTTAACTGGGATAAGGTATGTGGCCCTAAGGAGAAAGGGGGGTTGGGGATCAAGAAGCTAAAGTTGTTTAATAAAGCTCTCTTGGGAAAATGGATTTGGAGATTTGAGAAAGAAAAAGATAGATGGTGGAGGAAATTAATTGCAGCAAAATATGATACTGACAGTGGGGACTGGGTAACCACTGATCAATTGAACTCTTTAGGCTGCTCTCTGTGAAAAAAAGTCATGGAAGTTCTCCCTTGGATGAGTAGTGGTCTAATTCCAAAGGTCAGGAATGGAAATAGGTTGTGGTTCTGGAAGGACACTTGGTGTGATAGTACACCTCTGGTTGAAGTCTTCCCTCAGCTGTTTCAGATTGCGGAAAATCAGAATGGATCAGTGGCTAGTCAGTTTGAAGTGAGTGGGGCACTATTACTTGGAGCCCTTCTTTTAGAAGGTCATTTCAGGACTGGGAAATTGGGAAAGTTGCTGAGCTCTTGGGGTTGCTTTACAGGCAGTCCATTGACACGTCTCCTGAGGACTCTTGGAACTGGAAGTTTAGTGTGGATCATGGTAATTTCTTGGTTAGCTCTTTTGCGGGGGTTCTGAATGAAGCTGTGTATCCAAAAATTCCAGCTGAGAAAATTTGGAGCCCTTCTGTGCCTTCAAAAGTGAATGCTTTGGTTTGGGTTGTGTCTCTCAATAGATGCCTTACAAAAGATTCCCTGGTTAGAAGGGGTGTTGAGATTCAGGACCAGCAGTGTGTTCTTTGTGGAAATATGGAGGAAGATGGCAGGCACCTATTCATTCACTGTTCGGTTACAGCTGCAATATGGAACCACTTTTTATCGGGGGTAGGGCTGCAATAGTGTATGCCTCATTCAGTTCTAGACATGATACGGAGTTGGGAGCTGAAGGGTGGTTCAAAATTGGAGGAGTGCATTTGGAGTGTCCTGCCTGCAGATATCTTATGCACAGTCTGGACGGAAAGAAATAGAAGGATCTTTCAAAATAAGGCCTCTAGCATAGATTGCTTGATTGCCTTTGCTTTTGGCAAGCTAGTCTCCTAGGTGGCTGCGGCGAAGGACCTTCAGGCTTCAGTCCTCTGTTCTCAGCTGAGATCTAGGAATTTTCTTGAGTTATGATGTATTGTAGTTGTTAAAGTGAGTTTTGGCTCCTTGTCTTAGGGGCCTTGGTTGTAATCTGCCATTTTTGGCTATTTGAATAAAAGTTTACCTTATCTTTTATCTTTTATCGAGAGAGAGAGTGAGAGAGAGTGAGAGAGAGAGAGAGAGAGAGAGAGGAAAAACTAAGAATAATGTCTCCTTCAAGTCCTCATGTTTATGTGCCTTGGGTCTGATGTCTAGCATGGTTTTATAAGGAGGTCCAAAGTCATCTAATTCTTGCTCTGTTATGGGCCCGGGCGTAGGATCTCGTCACGGGTCGGTCCACGAGGAGAACCTCTAGTTTCCCCTTGCCCCTCCCTTTGCGTGTTGACCCTATCGTGGCGACCTAAGGGGTGATTTGTCCAAGAGATCACCCTAACTCTCCT